GTAAGTCAACGTTGTCTTCAACCAATCTCTACGATCCCTCCACTAGTAAGTCAACGTTGTCTTCAACCAATCTCTATGCTCCCTCCCCTGATAAGACGACTTTGTCTTCAACCAAACTTCAAGCTCCCTCCCTCTTTAAGGCAGCTCGTTCTATACCCTTATATCTATCATGAATATATTGAATGGAACTAGGCTGTAGATCCATTCCTATAACATTCGCATTAATGTACATTTGGTTTGTCCAGGACTGAACGTCATTGCCAAGCTGACCCTCAATGTGTAATTTACTATCAATATCAGTCGGCTCAATTTCTAGTTTCTTCATCAAAACACCTAAATAAGCATCCTCGACATTAAACTTGGGTATTTTTCTTTCCAAGTCGAGCAAGTCTTTCAGTAATTTTCCCGAAAATGCATAAAAAGGTCCAGCACAGTAATCAGGAAAGTTTGCAGGCGAGAACTCTTTTTCACTGACGACAAAAGGCTTTTTTGGGTTGCGATTGACTGCTACATGATTATGTACTTTCCCAGCATAAAGTTTATCGGGCTTTTCAGCGTCCTTTAGCCATTGAACAATGCGAGGAAGGTGAACATACAAATGGTAGTGTGTTTTGATAATAAATTTAGGCTGATATTTTATCGCCCATCGATAACCATGCCAAATTCTTTTTATATCATGAGGATCCTTGTCCTCTTGTGAACCAAGGCGTAGAATGTCATTATATTTTGAAGCTTCTCTGTCAACTTCGTGGTCTAGATGAATACTCGGTGTACAACCTGTTACAAATATCACATAGCTGACCAGATCATTCGCAGTTTCCTTCTTGCTTCCCCATGTATTTCGTATAGCTTCTCGAGCATCCTCATTCAGTGCCTTACTTATCACCAGAACAACTAGAAATATCTCGCCTGGTTTGTGTTTTATAGTCGGTTTAAGCGAAATACAAGCGTGGGTCGTGTTGAGTACAATGCTCGTGTCTTCGTTATTATTCAAAAACCACGCCAGAGACGATCTTGTAAAGTCCAATATGGGGTGATTTTTATCACTAGGTATAATAAGATAAAGTAGAATCAGTGCTTGTACAACTATCGCTGCGTAAAAAGCATTTTTCTTGGTTAGTATCATGGTTCTTGCTGTTGTTTTCGTGGATGTGTGGTTGATTTGCATAAAGTATTTTCTTATTTTATGATAATAAGATTACTGCCGCGCACCAGACCGATTAATGTATTCATATCTACGACCGGCTGCTGTTGTCATAGTAACCTTTTAAAGAGCATTTTGAGTTTTGATAGTTTTCTGATTATTTTCGACTTCAATATTGTGATATTTTTCTATTGAGATCAAGAATTTTATTAATGCTTTATTTATTTTTTGAATTTAATTGTTTGTTTTTCTTTATATTCCTCTTTTTAATACTTCTTTTCCTTCCTTCCTTCCTTCCTTCCTTCCTTCCTTCCTTCCTTCCTTCCTTCCTTCCTTCCTTCCTTCCTTCCTTCCTTCCTTCCTTCCTTTTTTCCTTTCGTTTGTTTGTTTATTTTTCGACTTTCTTTCTTCCTTGTATTCTCTTTTCTTTTTTCCATTCTTTACCCTTCCTTCCCTTCCCGCCTTTCAATATTCCTACCACATGCATCATCTTTTTAAAAATTCCTCGTATATTTCTTCCCATTCTTCCAGGAACTTGACGAAACTTGGAAAGGCATGCGATGGATTCTAGACGCACTACACTACGCACGTGATCGACAAGTACGTGGTGGTATACCGCTGGTCGAAGTGTTCAAGTTCTCACCTTGTCACATGACCAAGAATGAGTTGAACAACATAAACAGCGAATCTGGTAAATAATACTATGAATAATAATAATAATAATAATCTATTATGAATACTCTGCATTCCAAGACTTCGTTTTCTCTTCTTGCAGTGAAATTTTTCAGCTTTAAAAATTAAGTTTTATTCTTTTTAATCTTGACTTTTTGCGTTTGTCTTCCTGCTTTGTTGTCTCTGCATCCTGTCTCTCTCTCTTTTCTTAAGGTCGCAATTCAATCAAGGAGGGCGTGGTCAAAGTGTTTTCGACGCGAGAGACTGGGTTACCTGCTGGTGCGGAAGTAACGGTACTGGAAAAACTCTAACTCTTTGTAATACTCGTCTAATTTGGTTAAATATAACGTAAAGCTTTAAAACCTCTAACGCTATTGGCTGCTGTCCTTCTTAACTCATCTGACTCAGTTCGTCTGTACTCACTTTGATTGTTTGTGCGTTTTGGCCCTCAATTGCATGCCTTAATTTACCACGGGACATAGAGATGACATCACGTGATCATTAAATCGACCACGTGACAGCTATTATCTGATCAGCTAACACCATACTTGTCACATGACTGATGGTATCTCACGATACTGTGTTGTACCACGTGCTAATGAAACCAGTAACCGTACCCCTTGTGTACCCCCTGTCTGATCATCTAACACCATACTTGTCACATGACTGATGGTATCTCACGATACTGTGTTGTACCACGTGCTAATGAAACCAGTAACCGTACCCCTTGTATACCCCCTGTCTGATCACCTAACACCATACTTGTCACATGACTGATGGTATCTCACGATACTGTGTTGTACCACGTACTTATGAAACCACCAACCGTACCACTTGTGTCACGTGGTTAATGGTTTGGCGTTTGACATCACGTAATTGACAAGTCGCATTATCTTACGCTTGATATGTGACTGTCATCATCACATGAACGAGCACCTTGCACGATCACCTGACTTGGTTCGTCACAAGACGAGAGGTCTATAACACGTGATACTGCACCCTGTTGTTATGACGTTATCACCCGCTCCATATATGGTTTTAACGTACGCTTACGTCAATGTTAAACACATTGTTTTCATGACCACGTAAAGTCGATTATTTGCTAATCAATGTCTTGTTTTCCTAAAGCTATGCATTACACCCTTAACGACTGCTAGTGAAGTGGTTGGCATGGTGATACAACAGCTAGAGAAAACCTGTCGAGAAAGAAAGAAAGTATGCTCGAATATCCCGGATGTAAGGAAGTATTGTCTAGTATGCGTCGTTGGGTCGCAGGAAAAATGTTTTAACGACGAATTTAAGCCGCTAGAGCTACAAAACCCATGGAGACGAGGAAAACTGTTTGTCAGGTTAAAAGCTTCCGCGATGGCAGCCACAAATTTCAGTCAGTTCAGCAGTGTTTAACGACACTGATCAATGCTTAAATTCTCTTAGCAAGGTCTTAATATTTCTGAATACGTGCGAAAGGAGAATGTATGATTTAAGGAAAATATAGCCATGTCAATATTTGGCATTATAAAGTCAAGTCAATTTGACTTATTGTTATATTATTACCGAAGTATTATCTATTAGAAAAGAGATTATAGAATATTGGAGAACAAAATTTTTTGAATATATAATGCGGCTGTTATTAATATCCATTAAGAGATATTAGAGTATATTAGAAAATGCGTGACAATATTATTACACCTGACAGATGTAATACGTGACAAGTATATTACGTGACAAAGAATTCCAATGTTTTGAGATTTACCGTATAACCAGATGCATCCAAAAAAAGGTCATGTTTGAAGTAGCTTTCACATCAATGGGAAACATGATATTGTGATTCTTAAATAGCTTCCGAATTCAAGCAACTGTGATTGGATTGTTTCCCCACTTTCTGATTGGTTGACTGTGAAAGCAACCAATCAGAATCAGGGTCACCTCATGACTCTTAGACAGCGCCCGAAAAGAATTCAAACACTGATTGGATAGTTTTTACTTTCCCCTTCTGATTGGTTGACTGTGAAAGCCATTTGAGAATCATCCTATGATAGGTTTCCCACTTGATCAAACGTTCTCACATCACTTCGTTGGCTGTATATGTTGAGTTTTTTTACTATTAAGATTTGGTTTGACTGTTTACCTTTATCCCGTTAAGATATTAATTCAGCAAGATGGTTTTCTCACGTTATTTTAGTATCGTTTCTACTCCGTTATTAACAAAAAAAAAGAAAATACAATGACCAAGGAAATCAGGAAAAATTCCTAAAAAGGGACAGCCGAAAATACCTGAAGATGTTACATTATGTTATGACTTATATTATTTATTATGAGTCCACGCAATAGATGAGAAGTGTTTATCAAACTGGCTTTGATTCATCGATGTATTTCGATACAATGGATGAGAAACTTAGCCTGCGTTTACACGATAACGGACGAATTTTTAACTGTTCAAGAATTTGACCTGTACATACCTTTTACGCGAAAACGTCTCTTTAAGTGTATAACGAATACGTTCTGTTTACACGGAACCAGTCCCAAAATTGCACGGCTAGGCGTACGACGTTTTGTTCGGATAGCACAGTCCCGTGCGAACAGAACCCCTAAACGTACACCTTTTTGACTATCTGAAAATTAGTCCAGTACCGTGTAAACTTAACTCTAGAAAACTGTTAGTTCGTCGTGTTTTGACTGCCTGCTTACCAAAAGTAGATTCTTTTTTGCTTTTTCGTTTGTTCCTTCGTTTGCGCGCTTTTATTTTTGTTTTACCGCTTTATTCGTTTTCTTCGTTTACCATAAATATTTATTGAGTTTGACAAACGAGGTACATCCTAGTCTAGCTTGGGCACGAAGTACTCCACACAAAACATAAATAAAAGGCGTTTGTACCCAAGCTATACCACAATACACCAACTTTACCGGCTCGAAAATATTCTCTGTGCGCTTTGTTTAATTTGTCTTGCTTGCGCAATAAATTCCTGCCGATTCTGTTAATTGTGCGCATTGCCATTTTACGAGCACACTATTTGTTTAAATCTTAGATTGCTTAATGCGTTATTACTGCGGACACTGCGTTGGTATCCTGTTACAAAAATGAAATTTGGTCTTAGAGGCGTTTCAAGGCAACCATGTTGGAGGACAAAACGATAGAAATTTTCTCCTCTGGGAAACAAAATTTCTAGTCATGTAAATTGATTGCACTGTTCTGGCCCCACAAATGGCTGCCATTGAAATCCTTTTTTGCTGTGTTGAGAAAATTGCCTTCTTAGGGCTTATAATGTGCGTCAGTCATTACTGATCTAATCAGTGTTGCCAGGAAACGTTTTTATGATAGTTGAAATTAGAATATATGAGAGCGGGCGAGAAATCGTTAACTTTGTCAGTTGTGGAAATCAAAAGAAAATAAATTGAATTATTTGAAAAAATCGTTATATGATTTATTAAGCTTGTGGTGTCTGCAGCAACTCGTTTCTTATTCAAGTTTGTACGACTTGTCAAACTTGCTGCATGGGTCGCTATTAGGGAATGAAATAGAAAGCACTACGGCCGATGTAGTAGAGGTCTATTGATTCCAATCCAGACACTCAACACACGGACATACACAGAGAAGTCGCAGGCGTAGTTGATCACGTGATTAAGAAATGACTTGCTACTGCGCATGCGTTTCCATAAAGGCTTCCTTTAAAATACAATTGCTTTCTAAGTCACTCACAATTACCTAAAAAAGAAATTGAAATAGCCTGGTCATGTGATAAGAATAGTTCTTCACTGCGCATGCGCACTGGTAAAGGCTTCTAGCTCTGTTCCTTTTTTACCTTTTAAAAACCCCAATAAGCATCTTTCGTGACCAAGGTTAGTTTCTATAAACAGCTCTCTCCATAATTTGGCAACCAATTCAGTAGAAACTCAATGACGCCTCTGCACTAAGTCAATATCTTGAAGACCGCGTGGGCGCCACTGGAGGCGTAGTATGAACTGTTTATATTCTGATTCATTTTATTTAATCTTTTTGACACAAAGCACCTTTATTAACAATTAACGCATGCATAACAGGCACTTTATACTAACAGAATACGTTGAACGTGATGACATGAAGTTTCGTTATAACACTATGGGGTCATATGAAAACAATCTTTCGCCAGTTTTAATTCGTCGTGGGAGGGGGAAAAAACGGCAACAACACAAGGACTGAAAACGTACTGCGAAAATTTAATTTATAAAACTTTAGAAGAAAAGTATAAGCGCCACCAAATACCGTATATATTTGAGGAAAAAACACCGGTTTATAAAATGTTTGAAAACCAGACATATCAGAGCTATCAATTTAGCCGCAGAGTATACATTAGTCGAAATTCTTTTTGGTTCATCAAAATTCTGTCCTTTCTTATGATCAGGCTGTGACGACGACGACATACGAATATAGGTCAATTGTATTGAGCACAGAAAACTAAATTAAAACCAAGACAAGTCCAAACGCGACGCCTTTTATGGTGTCTGGCTTCCTCGTCAACTGCTTGTGCGGCTGGTTAGAGTTAGTAATTGTTTTGATCGATGAAAGGGATGGCCGCTTATTTTAAAGTAGGACTGAAAAGGAAAGGTTGGTTTGAAATAAGTAAATACAAGCAAAACGCGAACAAAGAGTAGATCAGGGTGAAAGAGGAAGGAAGCAATTGGAGCGTATCGGTACCACTCTCTCAATTAAATGCCTGGTTCCTAAGCACAAAACATCTTTTAAAGAAATGATGACTTGTCCAAATGCTTTCTTCGTAAAGGACATCGATTTTATTTCGATCTACAAGTGTTACATATTTGCACTTTGGCTTATGATGCGGACTCCTACTACTCTGCTAATAAATGTAATTCACTTTTGAAGGATGGGGTTAAAAGCAAGATTATTAGAGGAAAACTGAAAGCTTTTAGGTCGTTAATCTTTCTAGATTAAACTCAATGTGTCTGCATATAGTCAAGTTGGTGCAAGCCAAAACGCACCGCCAGATATCGATTTAACGTAAAAACCAAGAACATGGGCGTAATAATGTTTTCCTGTAGACCGTTTTCGCAAGGTTGCGTGCGCAACTAATTTGACGGCCCACAAAACTGAAAAACGCAAGTTCAGTAAAATTGAGAAGCCAGTTTTATGTTTAAAGAGGAGAATAATCGATTTTATGAATTCTTATCAAAAAAAGTTTATAGCAATGCATGATAGTACTCGTGTTATGGTATCATGGCCCGTCAAGTTCCTTAAATTTGGATGCGCATGCAACCTTGAGAAAAGGGTCAATTTAAAAACACACCTGGTCTGAAATGGGAAAACATTACCCCGAGTAATAAGCCCGAGTAAGCAGGTAGGTAGGTCAACTTTATTTAAAACACGCTTGCCCCGACAACTTTTAGCTGATTTCCACGAGGGGCGTGTGGACTAAAAATAGAATTACATCAAAATATAAATATATATATATATATACAGCATAAGCGATTTATCTAACTATCTATAATATGCTTAAAATCTTATTATTTCAATTGTAATAATTATATGTATAAAGAGATTTCATGTATTTGATAAAGAAATAAAGAGGTCATGTATTTGTTATGGGTGGGAGCTCGAGTCCATTTTTTGGGAAAACGATTTAGTATTTTTCTGATTTCTACAGTCCTCAGTTAGTGAATTCCAAAGCTTAGCCCCATCATAACTAAAGCTTTTTTTCATGTATTCCGTTTTAGGGAATGGTAACTGTATCTATTGTCTATCGTGTAACAAACAATGAAGATTAATGAGCCGCGCTTACGAGGAATGTACAAGTTAAAACAATCGACTGATAATAGGCTTTCAGTGTGAATAGCATTCTTCTGTAGAGTATGTAAACAATTTTAACACTTTGGGCTAGCGTATATCTTCGTCTATCTATGCATTTGAATTCGTTTGGTTAGACTTTCAAGTTTGATGAAGGATTTTTATTGACTCCTACGAACAATTCCCGTCATTTCCCATTTCTCTTAACAATAATTTGAAAACACCTCTGCATGTTCAAAGAAAACGTCGTGATTTGAGCACAGTTCAAGGAAGGAAAGTCGTGTCACCGAAAGCGTTGGCGAGGTAAGATATTTATCAATTTATTGGACCAACACAAGTGATTAGATCAAGACTTGATTATACGCTTTACACTAGATGAGATACAAGGTTTCAGGGTTTCCTAACACGTACACGAACATCGTGCTTCTGTGTAATTGTAAATATGGCAGCGCATCTGTTGGTCTGTATTTATAGTCCAAACTACAACTGCTCCTAATCAGCCGATTCTATATTCTCATGAGTTCATTTTGAAATGGGTGGATTCTGTAAACTTAATACAGTGACTTAATGCAAAACGAAAGGATTACTGGGAAGCCTGTGGAATCCTTCAATTTTCACGGACCAGTTAAAGTGGGGGATGGGAGGGAGGGGAGATTTGTTCGTCGAAAATCCTTGATAAACAGAACGAATATCTTACGCGCATGCGCCAAATCACTTAGCGGCTGAGGCTAGTACCGTGGGCTCATCTAAGTTCTTACTCACATCAGCACCATGCATTTTTTCCCCGTTAAAAATAGCTACAAACTATCAAACGCTTTCCCGTAGAGTATCATTTATCGGCTAAGGTTAGTTCTTATCGCAAGAAGAACTTTTCCAGTGATTCAACTGAAGGTGTTTTGAATTTTAACTGATTACTTGGACAGTAATAAACTGATCACTGTACATAGAAAGCGCGCGTGTTGGTGCACAGGTAGCCCAACCAGGGATATTGCATACATAACTACTGATAATCCTTTGGTTGTAAAAAAAGTTTCTTTGTTTGGATAAAATAAGTTTTATGAAACTGATTGGGGTGCTTGTAGTTTTTATTTACTTAAAACCGTAGAAATATTTTGTTTCATGAGACGCATGTAATCTAGAGACACAGCGTTTATTTTCTGTTTTGAACAAAGGGTTATTTTGAAACATCAAAACTTTAGCTGCAAATTTTAATTTTACTGCACTCACTTCTGTTTATGTTGTTTTGGAACATCAAAGTTTTAGCTGCACGTTTTCGGTCTGGGCTTCCTGTGTTGCGCTTTCAATGTTGTCGGCGTTCTTTGAGGTACGGATAAGCCGGTATCCGCGTGACAAGAGAGAAGCCTCTCTGAAGTAGAACACAAACCATAAATCAAGTACATGTACAAATCAGATAAGATTGGAGACAGGCTAACACTCTGAAGAATATCCAGTCCACTTTACTTTGTCAACCAACTTTTTTTATATTTATCACGCGTCTATATTGTCTCCCTACATAATGGCTTTTTAGAGGGTCTTGGTTAAAGTACACTTTTCGATATGTATCAAGCAAAATCATGCAACCAATTTCAATATATTCCAGTTCGATATTTGTTTTTCTCGGCATTTACTCTTAATTTTTAATTTAATTTTTTCCATCTCGTTGGTTTTGTTCGGTGTTTTAAATCCTGATTCGTGACTTTCAGAGATGTCATGACTCAACCCTGAAGGCCATTGTCACGCAATATCGTTTGCTGTCATTCATAAGCTTAATTAATTACATACTACCTCCCTGGTGGAAAAATATAATAGGACATTGAACGTGACACACACTCAACGGGAAGAAGATATTATATATATGGGCGTGTTTTCATCACGACCACACGCCCCAAAGCGGAGATAAGACTGTCAAGAACAGCCCTTCGTGACCACAGTAATAAAAAATATGTTTGCCCTAAAACGCGCGAAATTTCACAACTTTTCCTTTCATTTAGAAGCAGAGCCAATATTTAGCCACAAGATTTTCTTCTATTCTTGTTTTAAAGCGAGATAAAGCAAACAACTGTCTGCCTTGAGTGCATTTACGTCTGGCACGTTTCCCAACCTTTATTGTTATTCATGAAATATTTGATAGTCTTTTCCCTTAAAATTCACGACCATGTCCTAAATTAGGCTCTATTTTCTGAAGTTTCCCTGCTCGAATTCCTTGTTATTTTTTTCATGAATCTTCAAAAAGGGCGGGGAAAAGAGAAAAAAACTGAAAACGTCGTCTGCTTCGCCATGCAGTAGCTATGTTTATCTCAGCCTTTATCAGTACCCTTATTTACCATGATATTCGCTAATAATTCACTTCCTTTATTTCGCTCTTATTATTCACGGGTTTTTTTCATGACGTTCTTGTTAGAGATAGAATAGAGCAAAAAACGACCTAAGTCATAATGACTTTTTCGGCCTTACTTTCAATCAATTTGGAAAATTTTCGCAAATAAAAGAAAGCTTCATTAAACTGACTGACGTAATGATTTTCTTCAGGTTCCTATTTTTTTAGCAAAAAAATATTTTGACTCTAGTGTGCCATTTGAAGCTAATTAATAGGCTGACTTCGTCGAGATTTTTTTTTTTTGCGATCAATGACTCAAATGTTCAATTCTTTTAGCTTTTAGCTGCAAAATATTGCTTACTTTTCCACTACAAACGTAGATAAGAATGGAATCTCAGCAAGTAAGATAGTTACGTAAAGTAATAATCCAGAATTAGTAAGGATTTTGAAGTTCAATGGCTTCTTTTTCATTTATTGAAACCTGTGCATTGGTCTGGCTATCTCAGTCATTATTAGTTACCCGAGGGAAGTAAGACTGAACAAATAATTTAAAACTCCTTTTATCCTTAGGAACACGCCAAAAAGTAGACACTAAATCAAATCTCATCTTTCTTTTTGATATAACAGTATCATTTCTGTAGACCATTTCTGTAGACAAAACCTCTATAATAATACTCAATGAATATGTCTTAGGAAGATGGAAAGTTTTGAAGTTTTAACTTTTTATGTCGGTCTGATCAAAAAGGCTGCAAAACTGAAACAATCAATGAATCTTTGAGTTTTTTCGTCATTAATGGACTGGAATAGCTTTTAAAAGAGAGACGTCGACATGAGAGAGAAGTATTTTCCGGTGTGATAGAATACACGTCAGATCTGCTATACTTACTACGTGACGTAAAACTGCCCAAAATAAAGTTAAAAAATACAATGAACTTGTGCTTCTTATTTATTTTTAGGGGAAAAACTTTTCTGTCGTTTTTATAAGTATCACAATTATTTTAACTTTGAATACTCTAAATTCTCTGTAAGAATATATTTTAATAATTTTATATTATTTAATCACTATTTATAAATGTGTGTGTCATTTTATAGCTGCAATTACGATTATTCTTTTTGCTTTAACTAGGGTGGTTTATTTGAAAATAAAATAAAATGAAATGAAAAATGAAATATTTATTAGTACCCATTCATTCCCAAAGTTCAATTTACAATCTATTTTTCTTTCCATTTTTCGTCCTGAATTGTTTTCCCTGATGTTTTGGACGATTGTTAAATAAATTTTCCAGCCATTTAGCGAATTTCCAGTTCATAAATAATTCAAGAACTTTAACTATGGAACAATAAATTTCGAACTTTCAGTGCCGAGTCACGTTCTAGTAAAAAATTGTCGACTTTCAATCAATTGAATCGTTCCTTCCTTCATATCAAAGTTTTGACGTTAAAATTCCCTTTTTCCTGTTAGTACAAGTGCGACCTATCTTTTATAGTATATGTCGGTAAAGTGTAATACTTCTGGCGCCAAAACCCCTCACAGTTTACTTGTTTTTCTTCCAATAAGAAAACATAGAAAAAGCAGCAGAGAAAAAGCTTTTTTGCAAACACTCATTAACTTCAAACGCGTCCTTAGTTTGACATAAAGCTTTCTCTATGAAATTGGTTAATAATTTCAAATTAAATGACACAGTGAAAGTTTTGGATGATTGTTTTAGCACTAAGAAAAAACGAGAGAGGTAAAATGACTGGCGTTAAAGAAAATATAATATAAATACCTACTAATTTCCAGGGTGTATTTAGGCTGTATTCAAACTTTTATTAAATTTGGAGAAGAAATTAAAATACTTTAGTACATACAATGTGACAGTAATCGGCATTCTTTCTAAATATTATGTTTTATCGAATTCAGAAAATGCTAATTTTATTTCGGATGAAAAGATATTTTGCTTTCAAGCTCGTCTCCAAAATATCAATAGCGTGTTTTTAGATAAACGTGGAGTATATCTTCGCGAATAATGCGTGAAGTTCGTGCAGTAACCGAGATATACCGAGTTAAGTAAGCCTTGGAGTTTTCGATTCTGATTCGTGGGAAAAAAATCATGTGAAAAAGTCCCCTTGGGCGCACATAACAAAACAGCCCTGAGGTTAGGACTCTAAAATTTTTTTACATGTAATGAACCCAGGTGTACTTGGATTTAGTTGTCTAACGTGTTTATGATTGACGATATTGAAGAAGATCTCTCAACGAAAATGTAAGTCTAACACAGTACACTTAATGATGCGCAATATCCGTAGAAATACATTTTGAAGATTGGTTGGTTGGGGGGGCATATGCTTATTGACAGAATACCTTTCAAACAAATTGAAAAATACGTCTTCATTTATCCGGGTTGATCACAATTCATTTATCTAACCGGACCGCGTCAGTTAGGTATCTGTGCTTTCAAGTCGCAACTACGAAATCCACACAGCACTATCAACCAACGAGCTTTCGTTGAAAACACGAAGTGAAAGAATGAAAGATCGAAAAGTGGAAAAATGAATGAAAAAATTTTCGACAAAATTATAAATTGAACTTTCTCCAGAAAGAAAATCTATCGCCGAAAGAAAGGTAAGTCCAGAGAATAACATCGGGAATTAGGTTTTAAGTTTATTGTCTTTTTGCCAGACTCGGTATTTAATTTCCGAGATACAGACATGAAGTTTTGGTATTGCTTTGTGTTGCTACTGCAAATTAAATCCTTTGTGGTCAGAAAAACTTATTTTTTTTCTATGACTTGTGTTTCAATGTAAAGTCAACTTGGTTACTGCGGTAGCGCGGCTCACGACGGCTTGCTTGTATATCTCGTCGGGTAAGATCACAGACAATCATCGTAAGTGCTCTGAAAAAAGAACTTCAAAAAAACATTATATTCCTGTAGAGATTTTATGGATTCTTATTCAATTAAGCAACTTTACACCGACAAACTGCAGTGAAACTCTTAGCGGTGAAGCCTTTTGAATTCGTTCCGTGTTTGAACAGTAAAATACAGCGTGAAACTGGGTCTCATCTACAATGTACGGAGGTTTTTGATTACTCAGGATTGTCAAGAGCAATGCACTTGACAGAGAATGCTCTGAAAAACATTTTTTCCGACTAGAAAAAAATTAAACGAAGAAAACTTTGTATTTCCCGAAGTACAAGCTTGTGTTTGAGGTACAGTAATTCCAATTTAGACCAAAATTGATATTTATGCAAAACAAGTGCTTTTTTTCTTCTAGTTTAATGGGTCAGAAGTCATGGCATGGATTTTAGATTATCACTTTTCCAACAATATCAACCTTATTGAATGGGAAGTACGTAATGATTCGCCTTATGATAGTAATACGTGGACTGCTTAGATAAACGTAAATCAAAGCATTTACCTTAATGGACTTCAATTCTCAGCAAAAAAATAATTGCATATATCGAGTAAACATTTCTCGTGTTAAAAAAAAAAAAAACACTCAAAATTTTAGAACACTGAGTTTTGGCCACGACATCTTAATTTTTCTCTAAGTAATCTCAGCAGTTTCTAGCATAAAGCGAAACGAACAACCATACGGAGTTTTTTTTTCGGCGAATTTGAAGGCGGTCAGAAATAATTCACTAATAGAGATCTTGTGTCGATCTTAAAGATGTTAAAAGGGTTTTTTCTTATTTCCTTTCAAATAACTACTTGTTCATAACAATTTGATTTGTTTTCAATACAGCTCTATGCCTAATGTTTTGAAGACACCTTCAGGTTCACTAACGTTGATGTTTTGTTCCTGTCTTATTGGAGAAAGAATAAGCCGATGGACTAAGATAATAATGAACTGCCAATAGTGCGGCCACGGGGCTTGTCAAGTCTTTTGTGTCAATTAAATTCAAAAACAAAATATCTAAAAGCCTCGATCAAGGAAAATCAAAACAAAATAAACAAAAATGTTTTCAAGCGCATGGAAAGATATTAGGAATTGAATATTAGCAATACATACCAACATTGCTAGATTTTAGACACGAAAATCGATAACGACTTTGGTTGACACGATTTGGTCGATTGACTTGACGTATGTCCATATTGACGCGGTCTCGAAAATTTTTCTCAAATGGAAATTTTTACATCCAAATTTGACATTTCGTGAACACGAAAAAAACCCCTTTAAATGCGAAACATTGTTTTCATGAGGCTATAATCGGACTCTAGATGGTTACGTTTGATAAGGTTTTAAGAAGTCGAAAGGGAAAACCGAATAATGACACATATAAGGATCGGTAGTTTCAAAACAATATAAAAGATATTGAGAAGTTTTTTGTGTGCTTGGGTATATATAAGTCCCTTATACAAAAGATTTTGAATGATACAATACTACAATATGATAAAGCAGCCAAACAAAGGCCGAATGATAAACACGAGTTAACGACACACCGAACGACAACTTTCCGAGTGTAATCCGAATAATTAAGACCGAAAAAATGCCGAAAACCGAGAAGCAAAACAAATGAAATTTAAAAGTAAAAAATAAGATCTTTTACTTTAATTACAAATGACATCGTAATAAACCATATTCAATAACATTGAAAAACATACAAAACGCGAAATACTTTTTCAGCTTTTAATAGATATATGGTCGATATATGGTATTTTTTCTTGTTACATCCGTGTCACTGCGCATGTTCAGTGAATTTCATATTCAAAATCATCTGATAAAGTAAAGTAAGTAACTGTTAAAAGCATTAGCACAGGATATTGCACATCTAACATGATAATCACTGTAAATCTTGTGATAAAAATAACCGAAAAACACCACGTACGCGACAAGGGACAAAATTCTATTTATTTATTATTTAAATAAACATCAATTTATGCAAAGATTTAAACAACAGTAAGTACAAGTTGTTCCAAATTAGTATGCTTTGTCATCTAGGACAACAACAACAACAACAACTACAATAATAATAATTATAATAATAATGATAATAATAATGATGATGATGATGATAATGACAATGACAATGATGATGATGATGATAATAATGAATGGAAATGTCTCTTAATATGTGTTAAGAAAAATAGAGTCAAGGCTGCTTTGAGATATTTTTATAATAATAGTTATTATAATTATAATAATAATAATGATGATGATAACAATGAACGGAAATATCTCTTAACATGTGTTAAGAAAAATACAGTCAAGGCTGCTTTGAGATATTTTTTGAAAACAATTTTGAAAATACATGATGAGGTTACAAAAAGGCAGGAGCTTAGTTGTCGGTATTTCAAAACGAATACGGTTAATCGATATTCTATCGACTAGGACTGGGAATCGATACGTTATCGTCTTAAAATAATGCATGGTGAAATCCATAATCAATGTTTTACCGATTTGCTGTGTTTTTAATTCTTCTGTTGGACAAAAAAAAGACATATAATAATAATAATAATAATAATAATAATAATAATAATAAGTGATTGTATTATTAGCCCTGTCATGCTGGTAGGTTACGAAATTACGGCCTATCTAGCTTATCTAATTAGTATTCAAACGTGTTTACTGCTGATAATAATAATAATAACAATAATAATAATCTTTATTTACCCTGATTTAAAAACCCGATCAGCTGGACACGATAGAACAGCTATAACATATCTTCATTCAGTTACTGAACACTCCCATTTTGTGTTAGCCTCGATCAATAGTGAGCAAATGCCTTTTTTTATTTAGTTATTAAGGCCCATTGCAAAGTAGGGAAGTATGTATTGCGAAACAATTCAAATTGATTAAAATTTCACTGATCTTGGTGAAATGCTTGAATACTTTACGCACAACCGATACTAAAGCTGATACTATTTGATATTGCAAAAAAAAACAAAAAACAAAAAACAAAAAACAAAAACAAAAAGAAAAAAAACACAACAATATGAATTAGTTCACTTGGTCCCCAGGACTCTCTGGCAGTTCTTCTCCTATTATTTCCAAATAAACAAAAAACAAAAAACAAAAACAAAAAGAAAAAAAACACAACAATATGAATTAGTTCACTTGGTCCCCAATGTTTTGGTTCAGATTCGTAAAAGCTTAGTAAAACTTGGATTTCACCTTGGACTCTTAAACATTAGATTGAGTGCATCTTTAATAATAACAGTATACGATATAGTGCATTGTCTGATTCGTCGTGATATTCAAGCTCCCAAGATGCGTTTGATATTGATCAACTTTGACTGATAACATTAACAAATATATAACTTTACGAGCATGAAGAAACCAATATAAAGACATTAAAAGTGATGAACGTTAGCATCTAGGAACCAGACAAAGGTCTCGATTTTATCACCATTTTGAATAAATATAAATATGTCATGAAAAGCTTTAAATCAGTAATCCAAGGCTGTTTCCAGTCCCTCTCATTTACCATAGTAGTATTCTCATCCTGTTCAAGAACTTCTTGGGACTTCGTTTAGTGAGTGTCTATTAAGTTGCCGTTTCAAGTAGAAATCGTCCATATTGATTTCTAAACTTGAAGTTTATCGACAGTCCATTTTAAATCCGTCCCCATTCCATCTCGGCAACTAATTAATTATAGGGTAAAAGTATGTAGCAACTTGTCTTGAATAAGTTTTTAAGGTAGATTCTCGATAGTTCTCTGGTAGTTCTGGAGCATGCGATATACAATATATGGGGTTTTATACTAAATGATACATAGATAATAAAGATGCTAATATTGTATCAAATGTCTTGAAGTATAGTTTCGTGTTCTTTAAAGTGCAAATGAACCCTTCGACAATACTTTCAGTASTRATTCTACATRAAGTAAATAGTTGAATGGTAAAATATTTCTTGATTTGAGTGATGCGTCTCTAAGTTATAAAGGCTTATACTTCCAATATGCTAATAAGTGTGACGTCTATTAAGGCTTAATTAAATATACAAAATTGAACTGGTTCATAGAAACGGTATTTAAAAAGCATCATTATTTTGCTCATGGTTTACATGAAAGCTATTTTAAATTTGTATTTTCAAAATGGCCAGCATTTAGCATTACTAGTTACAACAAAAACACTCAAATACCTTACCTCGACGTCACACTTATTAGCATATTGGAAGTATAAACCTTCATAACTTAGAGACGCATCACTCAAATCAAGAAATATTTTACCAWTCAACTATTTACTTTATGCAGAACCAGTACTGAAAGTATTGTCGAAGGGTTCATTTGCACTTTAAGAACTTTCGAGACGGAAATGGACGATTTCGTATCAGATTTACAGACTTCTCATGGGCAACTGATTTTTATGTGCTTTTCTTCGTTAATTATTCATAATTTGATGATAAAATATGCCGTCTTTTTATATCCTATATATATAAGGAACACAATGATATCTCGGATTTGGTTTTATTTTCGCACAGGAAAGAAATAGTTTAATAGTTTTGGATCTGGAGCTATGAATCAGGTCACCACCACAGGATTTCCCCAGTGTTCATCACTAGGACCGTTATCTTGATCACTGGGAATAGGAAACTGTATAGTTAGATATCACTAAAATTCATTCCTGGGAATAAATTTTGCCAAATTAAATTTAGGGCGGAAAGGGTAACTTGGACACGTACTCATAACACCATTATGCTGGTGCTAACTTCCCCATCGTTTATGATTATGATTAGAAAGTTCAATTACCTGACAACGCTACCGCTAATGAATTTGATTGTCAGTTGTTTATTATGAACAGACAAGTCAAAAAGGCGCCAAAAGGGAATTGCACAGCGGAAATAACTGTTATTAAACGTTTTCTGGATTTTTCCTTCAGGAGCATTTCATACCTTTAACGAAAACATTTGTCTACAAGTTTTGTATAATTTTTAGATGTATTGATGGGGTGCAAGCATTCCCAAGTGAGTTAAAAGACAAAAACAAGGCGGCCATTGTGGTACCGTTAACAATGGATGCTAATGAGAAATCTTTTCTTAAATGGCACCAACATGGCCGCGATGACGTAACGTGCAAACGAAGAATAATAATTTAAGTCAATTTGGAAATTTTAATCAAGCTAGGCATAAAATATTTTTGAGACATCTGCTACACGACATGGAAAAAGGCTTTTGTGTCGGAATCTCTTAAAATTCGAATTAAATAGTGTTTAGTATAAAGGTTAGAGGAGACATGCACGACCAGTTATGTTAAAACTAAGAAGRAAAAAAAATGAATTTTTTTTCTTCTAAAATATTTGTCTTTTACCAAATCCATGGAAAATCCATTGAAAAAACTTGCTGCCTTGTACAGGAAATTAGACATTTTTTTATCGCCGACACTCATACAGGTGCTAGTCATCTTCTGTTAGAACTAGGGGGGAAATGGTAGTCATCTTCTGTTAGAACTAGGGGGGAAACGGTAGTCATCTTCTGTTAGAACTAGGGGGAAATGGTAGTCATCTTCTGTTAGAACTAGGGGGGAAATGGTAGTCATCTTCTGTTAGAACTAGGGGGGAAATGGTAGTCATCTTCTGTTANTCTTCTGTTAGAACTAGGGGGGAAATGGTAGTCATCTTCTGTTAGAACTAGGGGGGAAATGGTAGTCATCTTCTGTTAGAACTAGGGGGGAAATGATAGTCATCTTCTGTTAGAACTAGGCATAGTACTAGGGGGGGGGGGGATGTTCAAAATATTTTTATGGAACAATTCCATATTTATAATTGGGTTTTATGAAGTTTCATTCGATACCTTCTCCTAGGGCGAATGTGATTGGTTTATTTTGAGCTCTGACGTCACTGGAGCGAAACAATTCCGAGGTTGTCGTCGGCGACTGTTTAAAGTTCAAATGAAAAACGAGACAAAACACAGTTAAATCAATATGTGGGGGAACAGTTTCTAAAATCGCTGGATCACTGATAAGGTATTACTTATTATTTTCATCATATCTTTATATTTATATCAGAGTTTTTCTTTATCTGTGATTAATAGTTCTTTTCGTCGTCAACAAGCGAATTTTGGTAGCTTTGTGCTAGCGGTCTGTCGGAAATCACACACAAGCTCAATTAAAATTTTGGTTTTCTGAAAATATATTCCAGTTTATTAGTTATAAATATACATCAAATCTTATATTCTGCTATGAAACTTTGGTTAAAAATATCAGTGGCATTCATTTTCCTGCTGAGTCTTCAATGTTCTTCAAATCAAAACTGAACGACACTGAGCTAGTGGAGGCGAAAAAATAAGCTGTCGCAAATGAGCTGAAAAATTAATGCTCTGTTTTTTGAACTGAGTTCACATACCAGTTGCTCTCTTAATAAACCCTAAAACTTTCTAAAATTACTAAGTTAGATTACATGAATTTGACAAAAAAGCTATAGAGTTATAGAGCGACGAAATAAAACGACTTGAAGAGAACATAACAAACAAACCAAATTCCACAGAAAATATCATCTGCCCACTCAAATTCTACGTAAATTGAGCGATTATATGGATCAGCTGTTATCAAAAATAGGTTGTCTAAGAGATAATTTTACAAAAAAGAGAATATATAGAATACTCGCTTCGCCGGTGATTGCAGTCAAGATAAAGCCGTGGTTAGATATCAATGTTTTTATTGCTCTTTCATATTCTAGTTCGCTGTTGGACGGAATTTAATTCTTGTCATCTTTATTTTCGAGAGATCCTCCATTTTTGAAACTAGATTAACGGAGCTACGAATTAAATTTTTCAACCAAACGAAAAAAAACAATGGTGTCTCTGGTTTGCAAAAGAATCTAAACTAAGTTTCAAATTCAGGAAACGTATTTTATTCATAAGGACGAGAATTCTTAAAATTTCTTTATTTAGCAAAAGATCACACTAGCCTTCAACACAAGGTCATTTTACTCCAAGGGGGTGACTAGAAAGCCAGTATATAGCTTCCTCTTTAGATTTTATAGCACTCTTTCAAGAAAAAGAAAAAATAAATTTATTATAGTCTAGTTTTTAGTTTAAGCCACCCAACAGTCCCACGATGCACTGCAATGCCAACTTGAACCAGTTTTCCCCCAACCTCAGAATGGCTAAGTTTACCACGATTTTATTTGTGTTTGTTTAGTTTACTCTTCTTAGCAAAGATACCATTTTTTCCAAAACGTTCAAAAATGTCAACATAAAGTATCAATGAATGAATATTTAAATAAACCCTGTACTGTTTAGGCAACAAGAAAAGCAAAAATAGCGTGCTGGTTTTGGACTAAAACACGTTAAAAATAATAATAAATAATATATGATATTTCTTAATATTTCTTGTTTAACGGAGAAGAAACATGAATATGAATACAACTCAAACAAAGAATCTTATTCTAAAGAGAATGACATTATTTTGGTCTGAAATGGGAAAAACATTATCCCGCCAAAGAGGTCTATTCAATGCGGAAGGCATCCTTTACCGACTACCAGACAGACATTTCGTTGATCCGAATAATTTGTATATGTTTTTGTCGGCTCTACCTTGCGCACGATATCCTGGTTTTAAAGTGGATTTATCTACTTTTCGGCGCTCATCAAATCAACATTATTTTAGTCTTCAGCTGGGAATGCTTTTGTTATTGCTATCGGACTATAAACAAAAAAGAGTGTCAAGTGCCGTGCAAAGTTGAGTCCAGAAAATTTTGAATTAACTAGAATAAAGGACAAGCAAAATGCGATAAGAACCTGACAGTTGGTGGTAAACAAAACAACTCATTTTCACCATAGGATGCTCTTTAAAATGGTCCACAAAGCCGTCACTGGCAAAAACAAGAAGAAAAAACAAAACACAACGTTTGTTGGTAAAAAATATTGAAATAAAAAAAAACAAACAAAAAACAAAAAGACAAAAACAACCGATTGTATATGTGCTTTTTTGAAATATTTTGTTTAATTTCCATACAATTTTTTCTTTCACATAGCCATGTCGTTCTCTTGTTTTTTAGTTTTACTTTTTGTTGGATATACGACTTTCCTGATGCTTCCCTGCTATTTCGCCTTTATTTTCATTTCAAAAGAGCTGTATATATGTTATAAGTAAGAAAATATGAATTTTCTTTCTTGGTATGAAGGCACACTTCTTAACAGCGTTATTTTCAAAACAAAGTTACTTAGAGCCTGGCACCATGTAATGCTTCAAGCGGTGAAAATGAGAAAATACATTAAAGAAATACCTTAAGACATTAAATAAACTTACTAAATTATTATTTACTTTTAAAAGCAAAATGTTTCTTCAGAAATGATTTTTAGAATATATGCTTAACATATTAATGTTGGCATCAACCGTCAATACCATAAAGACCTACTTTATATACAGCTATTTCAAAAAAGGTTGAATACTGAATACTGCATACTGAATAGTGCATTCCAAGACCAAAGGGCATTGACAGGGTCTTGTTAATTTGAAATAAAAAGTAAATATACAGCAATTAACTCTCTACATGTAGATAGTATATTGTTTCAGATGGAATACACTAAAAATAGAATAAATAATAATTATTTATCTTACTTTAGACAATGTCATTATGACCCACAATGCCCTTCGGTCTTGGAATGCACTATTCAGAATGCAGTATTCAGTATTCAACCTTTGTTAAAATAGCTGTAATACTATTGGTCAACGATTGTTTTAAATTTATAGCGTTTGATTGTGTGCGTTAAGTTGATAATTAAATTTCCCCCTACAAACATAGTCAGTTGTATTAGTTACCTAAGAAGTATATAACAATGCCACTTAGCCACGAGCGTGTTAAGCTCTTAATGAAATTTCTGTTAATTTTTTTTAACAAGGAATTATTTAACGGAAACAAATGGATGGATGGATGGATGGATGGATGGATGGATGCATGCATGCTTTCAAGTTAGCCCCCTTCAATTTCCTCTCATTAAACACGGCAACGATTTGTCAGCTTTTAAGGTTCTTAGTCAAGAAAGTTCCAGTTCAGCCGATGTTGCCTTGATTGCTAGCATACTAAGTAGTTTTGCTTGATAAGCAGACATTGTTAGATGCGACAGGGAACTTTGACACTGCCAATAAGCAGGATATGAACATTTTCAATGACAGGAAAAAACCTATATTCAATTGAACCATAGGACTAATGAAGATATTGAAATCTTCCAGCTTGAAGGGAAATCCAGCGATCATAACTACATCCATACAAAAACACACACCTTGAACTGTAAAATAAATAAGATTTTAAATATTAAAACAACTCCAAAATATCAAAATTGAATGTCAATTCTTGAAACGTGAAACTAATTTTTAAAATTGATTTTGCTGACATTGTGACATGTTTGTCTCAAAAAAGCGGAGAGAAAATGTCAAGAACAAACTGAAAGACATGAATGTCAAAATTTAATGTGGTTAAATGTAATTTAGGCTAAGTTAGACTCGAGGTCAATGACATCTCGCAGTAGCGTTGTCCGGACGCATACCGCTATCTCCGCTGTCAACGCATTTATTACCTCACGCGATCGTTGATC